GCAACTGTTTTGAATGAGCGCACCTTTTTTTAACAACCAAAAAGTTTTGTTGTCTGTTGTGGAAGAACAGACGTTCCTCTTGTTGATAGCAGAGGAGCGGATCCAGCGAGAGCTTGATGGGGCGACGCGGAATGAAAAAGTTTTTTTTTTAGGAGTCGTGGTAGTAGAGGCGGCGCAACTATAACGACATGTGAATAATCCCGCCCACTCTAAAGTGGTACTGAACTGCAGTGGAAACGCAAACCGTGCCGAGCCGAACCGTGCCGTGCCGTACTGAGCCGTGCCGAGCCAAGTCGTACCATGCAGTGGAAAAGCGCCATTATATTCCTATAATAGAAAGCATGTGGGAACTCATTACTAATCAGTATTATTATTATTACAAATATTATATAGATATAATAAATAATTGAATTAATCAAATGTTACAATTGGTGGTGAAATCTAAAAATTGTTTCACCGTATTACATATGAAATGTTACATTAATGTACAGCCATTTTTTTGTTTAATTGAAAGCAATCTTGCCTACATGTAACAATTTATATAATATTATTCAATGGTAAATTATTAAATAATTATTTGTACTCTCTTCTCTTTTTCTCAGTTTTAAATCCAGACAATAGCTATGAGATCTTTATAGACCAGTCCAGTGTTAGCAGGGGAAGTCTGTTGACCGATGTCGTTCCACCTGTGAACCCTCCAAAAGAGGTTGACGATCCCAAAGACTCCAAGCCAGAGGACTGGGATGAGAGAGCCAAAATCCCTGACCCAGAAGCAGTCAAACCTGATGACTGGTGAGGTCTATGAAAGAGCCAAAATGGAGAGAATGTATTTGGCAGCTTGTGTTTTCTTCCCTTTTCATTTACATGAATGTTTACATGCCAGAGTTACTTGCGTCATACAGTTGTGACTACCTTCACAGTTTGTATTTAATTTCACTGGTAGTCATATGAGAAAGGAACCATGTGAATTTATGATGAGGTCATCATGTTATCTTGTCAAGAGAATAGCAGCAGTGGTATGTCAAGATCTATTTTTTTTCTTTATCTACCTAGGGATGAGGATGCCCCAGCTAAGGTGCCTGATCCTGATGCAGTGAAGCCTGATGGTTGGTTGGATGATGAGCCAGAGTTTGTGTCTGAACCCACTGCAGAAAAGCCTGATGACTGGTAAGAACTAAAGTGTTTCCTTTAATCTAGTGGCTTGTGTCAGTGCACAATGAGGAGCTTCTCAGTAATAATGAGGATCAATTTATTTGCCAGTTTAAATATTCATAGAAATATTTATTTTATAAGTACCGTAAAATAATAATGTATGGATTCTTGAAGTATGTGTGTGCGAAATTGACAGATCATATCTCAGTATTTTCTGGGATTTTACTATAGCGGGTTTAGGCCTGTCGTGGACAGTTGACTGCCAAAGCTTTTCATATTATGTGTAGTGGTCAGTTCACAGCAATGACAGAAATTAACTTTTTCATTATGGGCCAACATGTGCCACCTTAAATTGATTTCCAAGGGCATTGTTGCCGTTTTAAGGAATTTTTGTCAGTCTTTTTCTTTTTCATCAGTAAAAAAAATAAGAACACGGTCATGAATAATTTCATGAAAAATAATATTTCAGGTTGGGATGGCATAAGGACATAACAGAATTTTAAGTTTCATGTGTGTGTCTCTTTTTGAGTACTGACCAGACATGGAAATAGAAAAATACAAAGTTTGTAGACACTTGGGGTTTTATTGTCGAAAAGAGAAAATTAAAAGAGTAGAATTTATTGTGAAGTAATACATTTGAACTATTTGCAAATAATAATTTATTTTAATAGGCTAAATGACTGTCCTAACTAGGGCTGCACGATAAATCGCATGCGATATTTAACGCGCATCTTATCAGTAAAGCCGGTTCTGTAATCAGCGGTAATTCTCCATCACCTGCGGGCTTTCACATTGAGCAGCATTAACTACACAGAGTCGTTGTTCACTGATGAGCTGCGCAAAACCACGTTCATATTCGCGCGATTTTTTGCGCAGCTCGTCAGTGAACAACGGCTCTGTGTAGTTAATGCTGCTCAATGTGAAAGCCCGCAGGTGATGGAGAATTACCGCTGATTACAGAACCGGCTTTACTGATAAGATGCGCGTTAAATATCGCATGCGATTTATCGTGCAGCCC